TATGTATGTATGTATGTATGTATGTATGTATGTATGTATGTATGTATATATGTGAGTGCTCAAGCTGAGTGTACACCTGGATGCCAGAAGAGAGCATCAGATCCCAGGATAAATTTTGAGCTACCATATGGTTTCTGGGAACCGAACTCAGTACCTCTGGAAGAGCAGACAATGCTCTTAACCATAGAGATATTTCTCCAGTGTGGTTATTTTCAGGTTTTATGAGAGATGCCAGGAGAAAAGAAAATGATATTTACTTTATACTGTCTTCTTTTAATATGTTAGAGATTAGTAAATAGTCATCAATAACATGTCAAAGGTAGATATCAGATGCTCAAAATTTAAAGAAGATATTTGTACTAGTTATTTAACTTTTTGGTGATATGTTTGAAATTTTTCATAATATTACATTGGTGAAATTATCTAGTGATTAAGATTAATCTTCTGTGATTTTCCCCAAATAAATAGTGTTCTAGAGATTGAATATTGGGCTAGTTAAAGTACCCAAAATTTTTTTAAGTTTAATTAAAATCTCTCACTTTTTAGTTATTATCAATGTGGCTGTATTAGTAAGAGAATCCTTATTTTTGCTTACTCAGTGGTACATGGTAACTATAGTACACATTTACAACCGATGGAAGAACAGTGAGCTTCGATGTTATGTGAATGGTGAACTTGCTTCCTATGGAGAGATAACATGGTTTGTCAACACCAGTGATGTAAGTAGTTTCCAAAATGTTGCCGTGTGTCTTAGGGTTTCTATTGCTGTGATAAACACCATGACCAACAGCAGCCTGGGGTTTCTTTGACTTACACTTCACATCACTGTTTATCATCAAAGAAAGTCAGGGGAGGAGCAGAGACTATGGAGGAGCGCTGCTTACTAGCTTGATCCTCTCATCTTGCTCAGCCTGTTTTCTTATCAAATCCAGGATCGACTATTCAGCGATGTTACTGTCCACAGTGGGCTGGACAGTATCCTACAGGCCAGTATGAGGAGAATATTTTTCATCTGAGGTTCCATCTTTCAGATGTCTCTAGCTTGTCCTAAGTTGACAAAACTAATCAGTACACTAAGGAATGAAATTTATAAACAAGAATGTTTTAAAAACTGAGTATGTATTTTGGATACCATAATGTATTTTTTATAGGCATAATTTGATTACTGTGTTATTTTTTGATAAAACTTGTTGATTTATCAGCTAAAATATTATTACGATTTTATCATAAAATTATTCTGGGTTTAGATAAAGGTGATTATTTTATAAAGAAGTTAGATAATACATGTCCATACACTTTGCATATACTTCATCGCTGTTATTAGTACTATTATTTTTTATTATGTTTTCAGTGGTTAGAATGAACTAGGGATGGTCTTATTTCTCTCCTTCTAACATTCTTTTTAATAGAAAACTTAAGCCGGGCGGTAGTGGCGCACACCTTTAATCCCAGCACTTGGGAGGCAGAGGCAGGTGGATTTCTGAGTTCAAGGCCAGCCTAGTCTACAGAGTGAGTTCCAGGACAGCCAAGGCTACACAGAGAAACCCTGTCTCGAAAACCAAAAAAAAAAAAAAAAGAAAACTTAAAAAAAAAAAAAAAGACTCTAAGGAAAATGGCTTCAAAGTAAGCCACACATCTGCCACTCTCCTTTAATACCATTTTTATATTCATGTTGATAATGTTAGCTTTCAGAGCTCATGGTGTGGTATCAAACACACCTCTGAAACTCAGTTCTGTCACTTATCAACTATATGATCTACTCATGTTCCACCTGAAAATCAGTATGAAACACTGAGTCACAGAACATCATGTTGATGGTAAGGATACGCTTCCTTAGTTGTGTAGCAGTGATTGCTAATGGGACACACTAGTGTCTTTACTATAAAAAGGGTGCAGGGAGAAGGGTCAGGCCCAAACCAAACTCATCATTCCCTGCTTCAGACAAAGCTTTCCCTTCAATTGAGATGTTTAACTTCTTAACTTAGTATCATGTCAACTTGTCTGATTCTCTTTTTACTGTCTCTTTGTTAACAAATTGTATTTATTGTAACTTAGAGAACTTGTGTGCCCAATCTCCATTCCAGGTGTGAAGGAATAAGTGCTAAATGAAAATTTTTTTTTACTCTATTCATGTATAGTTTAGAAAGAAACATATGTATATACGTGCATTTATCTGCCTGTGTCTTTGTTCTTTTACTTAATATATTATATCGTATTATATTATATTGTGGATAAAGGTCTATCCACATTATCAATATGGAAGAGTTTTATTTTATTTTTTATTTTTCGAGACAGAGTTTCTCTGTGTAGCCCTGGCTGTCCTGGAACTCACTCTGTAGACCAGGCTGGCCTTGAACTCAGAAACCCGCCTGCCTCTGCCTCCCAAATGCTGGGATTAAAGGCGTGCGCCACCACCGCCCGGCATGGAAGAGTTTTAATTCATAGTGTTTTATTTTTTATATGTGTTATCTATCACTTGCAGAGTGTATATATATATATATTTTAAAACCTGCTTTCTCTTACAGACCTTTGACAAATGCTTCCTGGGTTCATCAGAAACAGCAGATGCAAACCGGGTGTTCTGTGGTCAGATGACTGCGGTTTACCTTTTCAGTGATGCTCTTAATGCAGCTCAGATTTTTGCCATTTATCAGTTGGGCCTGGGGTACAAGGTACTTAACTTACTGTCTACTGTTTAACGGTCGAATGCCTTTTGGGTTTGATTAGTAGGTGGGTCATACATGGGGAGTTATACCTTGAGTAGTTATATAATGTATGCCAGGGCACTGGGAGCATGACAGGGAAATCACAGGGGTCAAAGGGCACTTCACATTTTGAAGAATGCAGCATACTTGACATGTGTGAGATATTGTCAAAAGTGCCTGCTTGAGTTTCAGTTTTATTTCATGCTCTAATTCTTTCGATGAAGGCAAATCTGTTTTTAAGGTGACATAAAATTGTTCATATTCATGGGGTACCACACAGCATTAAAATACATACTTTATATTATGTTCAAATCAGGATCAATGTACCTGTCTTCTCAAACATTTATCATTCTTCATGATAAAATGTTCCTACTTTTCCTTGCATTTTTGAAATATATTGTTCTTATTTATAGTTCTCCTGCTGGCCAACCATGTACCATAGCTTCTTTCTTTCATCTGTAGTATACACTGACCATTCTTTCTCCACCGACACCTGTCTCTGGTAACCATCATTCAACTTTCAATTTTTAAGAGATTGACAGTCTTAGATTAAGAATGAAGAGGCTCAAGGATCATTTATCTGCTGTGTCTTGGATTACTCTACTTAATATATGTCCTCCAGTTTTATCCACATTGTCAAACTGACGGAAATTTAATTTATTTTAATGGCCAAATAATATTTTATTCCATATATGTACCATCTATTTTTCTTCTTCCCACCTCCTGCTTTGAGACAGGGTCTTTGTACACAGCCATGACTGTCCTGGAACTAGGCTGACTTTGAACTCACAGATCCTCCTACCTCTGCCTCAGTGGTGCTAGGATGAAAGGCAACTGTAATCACACTCAGCCTATTTTATCTCTTAATGAACACTTTTTGTACTTAATGGCAATTGTGAATAATGGTGTTATAATCATGAACGTGCAAATGTCTCTTTGATATCATTATTTCATTTTGTTTGGATATTTACTCAGGGATAAGATTGTTCCCATGGGAGGAATGTTTATAGCTTCCTCCCTCCACTCCCACTTTTTTGAGACAGGGTCCCAAGTATCCCAAGCCAGCCTTGAACTTGGTACATAGTTGATGCTGGCCTTGAATTCCTGAGCACCCTGTCTCTACCTCTCAAGTGCAGGGATTATAGCTATATGTCACTATGACTGGCCTCTCTGTGGTTGCAATTCTCTTACTGCCCTGAGATACTTAAGATCTTTTTGTTGCTTATTGGCTGTTTATTTGTGTTTTCACACCAATTTTCTTCTGTGTGATTTATTTTCTTACTAGGTATCAAGAGTTCCATAAATATTGTGAACATAATTTTTTCTCAGGTGTATGATTTATAAATTTTTCTTTTTCTTTTTTTTTTTTTTTTGGTTTTTTGAGAAAGGGTTTCTCTGTATAGCCCTGGCTGTCTTGGAACTCACTCTGTAGACCAGGCTGGCCTCGAACTCAGAAATCCACCTGCATCTGCCTTCCAAGTGCTGGGATTAAAGGCGTGCACCACCGCTGCCCGGCTTATAAATTTTTCTTGTGTACCTTGACTTTATTTTTAATATGGTTTTTGAAGAACAGAAATTTTATTTATTTTTTTGGGACAGAGTTTCTCTATGTAATCCTGACTGTCGAGGAACTCACTCTGTAGACCAGGCTGGCCTCAAACTCAGATATTTGTCTGTCTTTGCTTCCTGAATGTTCGGATAAAAGGTATGTGCCACCATACCTGCCTCAGGAATTTGATTTTTATCAAGTATAACTTTCAATTTTTTTGTGTCCTTATAAATATTGACTACAATATTAGAAAGATTTTCTCACTTTCCTTTCTTAGTTTTATTGTTTTAATATTTCTCAGTTGGTTTGTGGTTCATTTTGAATTAATTTGACTTTTTTAATGAAGTAAACTTAATGGTAAATTTTTCTCCCTATAAGTCTGATTATGTATTTCTCTAAGATTCATTGAAGCTTAACTCTCAAGGAAGTAAGTTAAGTGGTGAGTCTAGGGAAGTAATTAGGCCATGAAGGCTTTCTCATGATTGTGATACTCTGCACACATGTATGGTAGGACCAACTATGATTTGCAAGCAGAACCATAAAAAGTAAATTTAAGTTACTTAGAAATTACCTATAAGGTGTATTTTTAAAATAGCTGGAATGAATGTTGGCAGTCAATCTCCTCTAGTGTTCCTTTATTTTTTTTCTTCCACAAACACTGTTTTTTGTCTGTTGTATTATCTCGGCATTTTTTTTTTTTTAGGTTCTTCTGTATTTCTGACATAGTTTTTCTTATTGCCAATACATGACATGTTATGTAATGTTTGGTATAGAACCTTCCGATATGGTCTTGAATATTCTTTTTTTCTTGTTTTGTTACTGTTGTAGATTTTACTTCTAAGTATTTTATATTATTATCATAAAATATTGTAGAAGCCATATATGTACACCAATCATCTATTTAGAATTTATGTTCATAGCAGTACATAGCTTTTAGAGAAATATTGTAGTGTTGCCAAGACTAGTCTGGAACTCTTTTTTTTTTTAAGTTTTTTATTGGATATTTTATTTACATTTCAGATATTATCCTCTTTCCCCATCCCCCCCAAAACCCCCTATCCCATCCCCACTCCTCCTGCTTCTATGAGGATGTGTCCCCACCCACCCACTTACTCCCACCTCCCCACCCTTGAATTTCCCCACACTGGGGCATCCAGCCTTCACATGACCAAGGACCACCTCTCCTACCTATGCCCAACAAGGCCATCCTCTCCTACATATACAGCTGGAGCTATGGGTCCCTCCCTATGTGCTCCCAGGCTGGTGGTTTAGACCCTGGGGAGCTCTGGTTGGTTGGTATTATTACTCTCCTTATGGGGCCTCAAACCCTTTCAGCTCCTTCAGCTCCTTCTCTCTAACTCCTCCATTGGGAACCCCTTGATCAGTTCAGTGGTTAGCTGTGAGCATTTGCCTCTGAATATGTCAGGCTCTGGCAGACCTCTAAGGAGACAGCTATGTCAGGCTCCTGTCAGCATACACTTCCTGACATCCACATCAGCATCTACCTTTGGTAACTGCACATGGGATGGATACCCATGTGGAATGGTCTCCAGATGGCCCCTCCTTCAGTTTCTGACCCACACTTTGTCTCCATATTTGCTCCCTTGAGTATTTTGTTACTCCTTCTAAGAAGGACCAAAGCACTCCCACTTGATCTTCCTTCTTCATGAGCTTCATGTGGTCTGTGATTTGAATCTTGGGTATTTCAAGCTTCTGGGCTAATATCCAATAATCAATGAGTGAATACCATGTGTGTTCTTTTGTGATTGGATTACCTCACTCAGGATGATATTTTCTAGTTCCATCCATTTACCTAGGAATTTCTCCAATTCATTGTTTTTAATAGCTGAGTAATACTCCATTGTGTAAATGTACCACAGTTTTTGTATCCATTCCTCTGTTGAAGGACATTTGGGTTCTTTCTAGCTTCTGGCTATTATAAATAAAGCTGCTATGAACATAGTGGAGCATATATCCTTGTTATATATTGGAGCATCTTCTGGGTATATGCCCAGGAGTGGTATAGCTGGGTCCTCAGGTAATGGTATGTCCAATTTTCTGAGGAACCGCCAGACTGATTTCAAAAGTGGTTACACCATCTTGTAATCCCACCAACAATGGAGGAGTGTTCCCCTTTCTCCACATCCTTGCCAGCATCTACTATCACCTGAGTTTTTGATCTTAGCCATTCTGACTGGTGTGAGATGGAATCTCAGGGTTGTTTTGATTTCCATTTCCCTGATGACTAAGGATGCTGAACATTTCCTTAGGTGCTTCTCAGCCATTCACCTAAACCTCACAAAGACCCAACAAAGAAAGAGAACTTCAGACCAATCTCCCTTATGAATATTGATGCAAAAATACTCAATAAAACTCTCTCGCAAACTGAATCCAAGAACACATCAAAACAATCATCCATCGTGATCAAGTAGGCTTTATCCCAGGAATGCAGGGGTGTTTCAATATTCAGAAATCCATCTGTGTAATCCACTATATAAACAAACTCAAAGAAAAAAAAACACATGATCATCCCACTAGATGCTGAGAAAACATTTGACAAAATTCAACATCCCTTCATGGTAAAAGTCTTGGAAAGATCAGGAATTCAAGGCTCATTACCTAAACATAGTAAAAGCAATGTACAGCAAACCAGTAACCAACATCCAACTAAATGGAAACTTGAAGCAATCCTACTAAAATCAGGGACTATACAAGGCTGCCCACTCTTTCACTACCTATTCAACATAGTAGTGAAAGTCCTAGCCAGAGCAAGTAGACAACAAAAAGAAGTCAAAGGGATACAAATAGGAAAGGAAGAAGTCAAAATATCATGATTTGCAGATGATATGATAGTATACTTAAGTGACCCCAGAACTTCCACCAGAGAACTCCTAAACCTGATAAATAACTTCAGCAAAGTGGCTGGATAAAAAATTAACTCAAATCAGTAGCCTCCCTCTACTCGAAGGATAAACAGGCTGAGAAAGAAATTAGGGAAATGACACCCTTCACAATAGTCACAAATAGTATAAAATGTCTGGAACTCGAATAATCCTGTCACCTCCTGAGTGCTGGGATACAGGCATGAACCCAGCTCTAAATATTATCAGCCCTATCATTTCTTTTCAACTTCATTTGCATATCTTTTAAGGACATTAAAAATGAGGAATGTGTGTTTTCTATTTATTATGTGTTCACTATTTATAGGACATGTAATTTCTTTATGCAGATTTATGTTCGCAGGTTTATTAGTCCATTTTCACTACTGTAGTGAAATACCTCTGACAGAGTAACTTTATAACAAAAAGAACAGTTGGCTCCTATTCTAGAGGTGCAAGGTCTTTGGCCTGTTACTGGTGATGACATACTTGCTTGCAGAGATTTAGCAATGAATACAAATGTGCTTCCTTTTTAGGGTTCTGTCTCTTCATAATGCTACCAGAATTCACTGTTGGATACTTTACTGTACTGGCTTTCCAAAGCCCCACTTGAAATCACCTTTTCTGCACTTTATAGCTCTTCACGGTGGGAAAGTGGAAATTGACTTTCAACTTGTGTTAGTTTGTGGGACACACTCAAGTCATCTACACCATTGCACTGTCACGGCTGAGTTTTTCATTCTTTGATGGCATGTTTTTGGTTAATTCATGTTTTTTCTTTCTCTTTTTCTGCCCCTGCCCCAAGTGGGGACTGAACCCAGGGCCTTCTACATTATTCCCTGGTGCTGGGGATCCAAACTGAGGTTCTCGTGTTTGCTCAGCAAGCACTAATACCCACAGAGCCATCTGTGCTCGCTGTAACAATGTGCTCAATATAACTGCGCTCACAATAACTGTATACTCTATGTTGCTCTCACTGTTCTGGAACTCACTGTGTAGCTCAGGAGAGCCCTCACCCCACAGGGATTTACCTGCGCTGCTTCCTGAGTACTGCAATTAAAGGTGTGCACCACCTTACCCTTTATTAAAAATTTAAACTGTGCCAAAATATACATAATTTACTTAAATTCACAGTGCTTGAACAACTGATTTAATAATTCTTCCAGTATGCTTACATAAACTAAGATACCTTATTGGTCTGGGCTCTGTGATTCTATAAGCTATTGTGTATGCAGTCTTTCTATCTTTTTAAAATATGATTTATTTATTTTCATTTTATGTGTATTGATTGTTGTTTTACTTGCATGCACATCTGTGTGAGGGTGTGAGATTCTCTGGAACTGGAGTTACATACAATTATGAGCTGCCACTTGGGTGTTGGGAACTGAACCCAGGGACTCTGGAAGAGTAGCCAGTGCTGTCAACAACTGAGCTGTCCCTCCAGCCCTGTGTGTGTGCAGCCTTTCATTGATTAAAACATTGCTTTTAGATGTGACTGTGAAATAATTTTTGACAGCATTGAAGGAACATACAAAAGGCAATACAATAAAAATAGGAAAGTTCACTATCTACTTTGACTGTGGGTAAAACAGATACTAACTTAGATCAACAGGATGTGGGCAACTATATAGACCAGGTGAACTTAACATACAGAAGACTCTGCAGCACCCACATGATATGTGTTCTTTTTGAGAGTGCATGAAGTAGTCTTCAGTTGGTAAATTTAAGGAGATTGAAGTCATCGGATATATTATTATGACTGACAGAGTGAGATTGGAAAGATCTATACCATGGAAATTAAACGACACATTCTTAAGCAACCAGTGAGTCAGAACAGATGGCACAGAAGCCATTGGAAAATATCCTGAGATAAATGAAAGTTAATGTAAGTTAAACTTAACGTAATGCAACAATCAAGAGAGTAAATCATGGCTGGGCAGTGGTGGCGCACACCTTTAATCCCAGCACTTGGGAGGCAGAGGCAGGCGGATTTCTGAGTTCAAGGCCAGCCTGGTCTACAGAGTGAGTTCCAGGACAGCCCGGGCTGTACAGAGAAACCTTGTCTTGAAAAACAAACAAACAAAAAAAGACAGTAAATCATGGAGGCAACGACACATTATGTTAAGAGGTCCAATATCTTAGCTGGTAGTGTTACATTTTACGTTATGGTCGTTTGTATTTAGAGTTTCTTATGCTGTGTGTATTTTACTATTTTTTGTGTTTTGTTTTTGTAATTAACAGGGCACATTTAAATTTAAAGCAGAAAGTGACCTTTTTCTTGCTGAGCACCATAAACTGTTACTGTATGATGGCAAACTCTCCAGTGCCATTGCCTTCACCTACAACCCGCGGGCCACAGATGCCCAGCTGTGCCTCGAGTCGTCTCCGAAGGACAATCCGTCCATCTTTGTTCACTCACCACATGCACTCATGCTCCAGGTATTATCTCAGAAGTGTCAGTGAATGACTGAGGTGTGCTTGTTAAATTTTATTAAACATGCGGCAAACTACATCTTAGTGTTCCTGTATTTCCTGTTGTATTTTAGTTTCAATTGCTTTAGAAAAGAAGTCTTTGAAACCTTTACTGTGTTTTGTGTTTTCCCAGGATGTAAAGGCAGTTTTAACACATTCCATCCAGAGTGCCATGCATTCCATTGGAGGAGTACAAGTTTTGTTTCCGCTTTTTGCCCAGCTGGATTATAGGCAATATTTATCTGATGAGGTTGATTTGACTATCTGGTGAGTGTTTTTGATTTCTTGTTTTGATTGTTGTTTTTGAGAGAGTGTTTTCTGTGTAGTTCTTACCCACTGGCCTGTATTTCACCACGTGGCTCACCATCTTTCTGCCTTAGTTTTCTGAGGGCCAGGATTACAGGTGTACACCACCATGCCTGGTGGCTCTGTGTTAATTTTATGTCACTTTTCAAGATTATTGAGCTGAACAGTAGTTTTTGCCACTCATATTGTTGTAGAGTAACAATATTTCAGAGAAACTTGTTTTTGAATATTACTATAAGTATTAATTATATTATTAGTAATATAATTCTGATTTATTAGTTGAAAATACCCTCTAAAACATAATAAATGCTATCATATACAGTTGACATGGTGATAGTAGATTTATTAAAAATGTTTATATTTTGGCTGGTCCTGGTGATGAAGCCTTTAATGCCAACACTTGGGAGGCAGAGGCATGTAGATCACTGTTAGTTTTAGGTCAACCTGGTCTACACAGTTCGTTCTTGGGCAGTAAGGGCTATGTGGAAACATTATCTCAAAAAGGAAAAACCAATCAAGACAAACAGAACACATATATATGTATGTATGTATGTATGTGTGTGTGTGTGTGTGTGTGTGTGTGTTTTGTGTGTGTGTATTTATTTAAATATTTTAAATTGGCAGGGGTTTATTATGGGGATAAAAGTTTTTATATTTTAGTTTCTTTGTCATTCATTTGTATAATTGAAATTTAAAACTTTTAATGGTAGGGCAGGGGATTTTTTTTCTTTTTTTAAAAATTAGGTTGTATATTGACACATTTTATATTCTGTATTATAGGGTTGAATCTTAACAAAGGCAGAGACATGTGAATTCTATGACAAATTGTAGACCGTGAGAGCTGTCTAAATGAATGAATTCCTTGTGGCTACATATTCCAGTGAAATTATGTATAATACAATGATCATATTTCATTTATTGAGAAATTTGAATGAGCTTTCCATTCTTTTTTGGAACTCTGCTGTATGTGACTTGACATCTATGACCTATGTATCCAACTGATGATGAATTAATTTTCTTCAGATTATTTTTAGGCAACAAAAATTACTTTAAATTTTTTTCTGAGCAGGAATCAGATGTAGCATTTGCCAACTCTATTAAGTTAAATAATTTATTTGTGGTTTGGGGGCTTGCTGTGTTACCCAAGCTGGTCTCGAACCTACTGACCTCCTGCCATCTCTTGTTAAGTAGTTGGGATTACAGATGTGCTCTCCTGCACCTGGTTTGCTGACTGTACTTTAACATACTTAATTAAATTACTCCTGGCATAGTAATAAGCTTACTACATTTTTGTGATTGCTTTGGCAGGGATTAGTTTTTCTTTCTTCCATATTTTCAGTCTCTTCCTTGGAGTAGCATAACGCTGTTGTCAAGGATCAGGGTGAGCCAGTCTTGCTGAATTTGTGGTCTTTCCTAGGAACCAATGACGAGGAGGTGGCAGCTAATCCTAGTTTTTCCTTTTCTTTTGGGCTTCTCTAAATATTGTGGGTGATGGAGAATGTTGTATCTTCTGTTCACTTTGAAATTCAGGACTGAGGGATCATGATTTTTCTGTAGGAAGAAGGGCTAAACTACTTATTTATGCTTTCTTTTGGTTTTTGGAAACAGGGTCTTACTCTTTAGACCTTCAACTCCTAGAAACTCTTCTGCCACTGCCTCCCAAGTACTGAGATTAAAAGTGTGCAGCACCATGCCTGGCTAGAAACAAACTTCTTAGTCCAGTTTGTAGCCCTGCTTGCTTTGGATCGTTTAAACCATATTCTGTTTGCTCTGTTTTATTTTTTTCTTTTGTAATCCTTAACTCTTAAAAATGAATATGCTTGATTTTTTTGTTATATCCATTCTTTTTTATCTTTTTAAATAATACCTTTATTCTTTGAAAATTTTACACATGTATACAATGTTTCTTTTTTTGGATTTGAGAGTAATGTTTATTTTTTCCTTTTAATTCTTTTCCCATAGGGTGCATCTCAATTATACTTCTTCCTCATCCCCAATTCCTCCCAGATCTTTCCCACCTCCCTATTCACCCAAGTTCATGGTCTTTCTCTCCCTCTCTGTCTTAAAAAACAAAGACAGAAACAAAAAAAAAAAGATAATGAAAATAAACAAAACCTTAATAAAATAAAAAGTACCAAGCATACCAAACTAAAACACACACACACACACACACACACACACACACACACACACACACACACACCAGAGAGAGAGAGAGAGAGAGAGAGAGAGAGAGAGAGAGAGAGAGAGAGAGAGGGAAAATGAATGAATGAATGAAAGATCCACTTGGAATTGAGCTTTGTACAAGGAGATAAGTATGGATCAATTTACATTCTTCTACATGCTGACCTCCAGTTGGACCAGCAACATTTGCTGAAAATGCTGTCTTTTTTCCACTGGATAGTTTTAGCTCCTTTGTCAAAGATCAAGTGACCATAGGTGTGTGGGTTCATTTCTGGGTCTTCAATTCTATTCCACTGATCCTCCTGCCTGTCTCTGTTCCAATACCATGCAGTTTCTATCACTATTGCTTTGTAGTACAGCTTGAAATCAGGGATGGTGATTCCCTCAGAAGTTCTTTTATTGTTGAGAGTAGTTTTCACTATCCTGGGTTTTTTGTTATTCCAAATGAATTTTAAGATTGCTCTTTCTATCTCTGTGAAGAATTGAGTGGGAATTTTGATGGGGATTGCATTAAATCTGTCTGTAGATTGCTTTCGGCAAGATGGCCATTTTTACTATATTAATCCTGGCAATCCATGAGCATGGGAGATCTTTCCATTTTCTGAGATCTGTTTCGATTTCTTTCTTCAAGGGTTTGAAGTTCTTGTCATGAAGGTCTTTTACTTGCTTGGTTAGATTCACACCAAGGTATTTTATATTATTTGTGACTATTGTAAAGGGTGTCATTTCCATAATTTCTTTCTCAGCCAGTTTATCTTTTGAGTAGAGGAAGACTACTGATTTGTTTGAGTTAATTTTATATCCAGCCACTTTGCTAAAGTTGTTTATCAGGTTTAGGAGTCCTCTGGTGGAAGTTTTAGGGTCACTTAAGTATACTATCATATCATCTGCAAATAGCGATATTTTGACTTCTTCCTTTCCTATTTGTATCCCTTTGACCTCCACCTCCTTTTGTTGTCTAACTGCTCTGGCTAGAACTTCCAGTACTATATTGAATAGGTAGGGGGAGAGTGGGCAGCCTTGTGTAGTCCCTGATTTTAGTGGGATTGCTTCAAGTTTCTCTCCATTTAGTTTGATGTTGGCTACTGGTTTGCTATATATTGCTTTTACTATGTTTAGGTATGGACCTTGAATTCCTGATCTTCCCAAGACTTTTATCATGAAGGGATGTTGAATTTTAGTTTTCCCCACCCCCAGAGACAGGGTTTCTCTGTGTAGCCCTGGCTGTCCTGGAACTCACTCTGTAGACCAGGCTGGCCTCGAACTCAGAAATCCTCCTGCCTCTGTCTCCCAAGTGCTGGGATTAAAGGCGTGCGCCACTACTGCCCAGCTTATTAAGATCTTAATACTTTCCTTATACATATATCTATTGTTTCCAAATGTTGTGATGTTGTTTACTTTTTTCTATGCAGTGCATGTTTGTTGTATTGTTTCTACGTTACTAATGTTTGTGATAAAATACATGAAATATTGAGTGACTCTTAATTAATACAGTAATTATTTTGTTCTGAAATAATCTTGGAGATGGTTTTAGTAGGACTTGCCAGGGGTTTCTAGGGGTTGAACACAGGACCTCACAAGCTGGGTAAGCATTCTTCCATTGAGTTACATTCCTGCCCTGAAACAGAAATTTTGATTAAGTTAAATGGAAGGCTATATATGTTGAATCTAATATTTTCTTGTGGAATATTTTTTCTCAAACCATTGCCTTTTGTCTATTTTAGTACAACCTTGCTGGCTTTTATCATGGAGCTGTTGAAGAACTCAGTTGCTATGCAGGAGCAGATGCTCGCTTGTAAGGGCTTTTTGGTAATAGGTTATAGTCTTGAAAAGGTAAAGTATGATATATTTTATATGCTTAATATTGATTTGCAAATCACATAATTGTTTTTCCATGTGGTTAAGAAATGCTGTCTACAAGAATGTCTACTTTGCCTATAGAAAATTACTTAAAACTGTAGATTTTGTTTTACCTTGCTTCCTGTCTTCTGTTAAGGAAGTGTGGCAGTGAGCTTCATGCCATCTTTAACTTTGAGCATAGTTTGTGGACACATTCTTTTTTGGTGTTGACAGCTTGTAATTTACTTACCTTCCTTTGAATTAGTAGTAACCTTTAAACTACTTTCCTCCCCACACCCCCCACAGTCGTCCAAATCCCACGTCAGCAGAGCAGTACTTGAACTTTGCCTTGCATTTTCAAAGTATTTGAGCAATCTGCAGAATGGGATGCCCCTCCTGAAACAACTGTGTGATCACATTCTTCTTAATCCTGCTGTATGGATCCACACTCCAGCCAAGGTGATGCATGCTGATCTCCTTTCACTCTCTGTTAAGTGTTTGTGTTTGAGAAAAGTGACAGTCATTAGAGTTTTCTTTCTTCCTTCTATATATCGATGAGCAAAGTTTCAGTGGATAGCCAGTTTTGAATAAGCACATTTTTTTGATTTTTAGGAAAGTGTTCCAGTCATTTATATATATACATACATACATACATACATACATACATACATACATACATACATACGTACTAATTTTGGTTTTATTTTCCTGTATTAAATAAGGTTTTAGTTGAGGGGGCCTTTGTTTGGTAAGTATAAATTCGAGAGCAGTTCTACTCCATCTTTCCTAGAATCTATAGTTCTATAGCTCTGTTCTTTTGTAAATGCACATGTGTATGTGTGCACACACACTTGTGCACATACACATTTCTTCTCCCTCTCTTTCCTCTCTCCATTTCCTCCCATCTCTCCCTGTACCTATTGTTTGCCTCTTCTGTGCATACTTCAGCCAGTATGATGAACTCTTGGGTTTCATTTTCCAGCCAAAGCTGAAATACCACATTTCCCTTAAGGCATAATATAGTGGTCTCATTAAATGTTAATTTTAATATTAAATAACAGAATATTCTTAGGTGTTTGCTAAATAATTTTGTAGTACTTTGACAACAAACTACTTATTCCTATGTGAATATAAATGAATTTTTTACTACAGAGCTTGTGAACAAAGTCTTTAACACACTTATCTATTAGTTGTCCTAAAAACTTATTAGTATTAATATTAAATATAATTTGAAATAAAGTTTTACCAAGTTTTAAAATTATGTACATTCATCTGTATTTACAATTTTTCTTAGAAATGGTGTTATTTTAACCCCTGTTCCCATTTCCCCTCCCCCTTTGCCCGCTTGCTGTGTCTATTATAGCACATACTTACTCTAATTGTCAGGAAAAAAATGTCTGCAGACTTTCCCTTCTGGGGTCACAATATCTTATTTTGAGCCAGTCTTTTTAAATGGTAAAGAGAAACACAGCTGCCGACTGTGATTGCCATTTGGAAATAATCAGAGGAGGCAGCTGGAGGTTGTAGCTTTTTATCTCCAGGTTACATTTGACCTCTTTCTCTTCTATGACCCTCAGTCTTATTTCTTTTCAAAGATTGTTTCAAGTTACTTTAAAAATCTTTTACTAGACATTTTTTTTTGTCTTACTAGCCAGCATATTTGTAAGGCTTTGTGTCTCTTTTGAAGTTGTCAGAAAGGGTCTTATTACTTAGTCTTAGAGGAATGTTTTTTACTTTAAACTTAATCACATGACTTCTCCATGTTCCTGATATTATCACAATTTATTACTTTACACTTTAACTAAATTTCCTTAATTACTTTTGTAGAATTTATAATTGACTTGATATTAAATTAACATTCTCTGTCAGCTGTTTGCTTGGTATATCTATAAGGAATTTTATTTGCTTTTAGTTTATCATAAACACAATTATAGCAAAGGACAGATCCAGATTGTTTGACTGGCAGGTTGTGTAGCTTGTAGGGTGAGAGAAATCATTTCTAAAGAGCACAGTATAGTGCATGTTACACTAGGCTTACAGGGAATGTGCGTGCTTCTGTAGAGTCAGAGCGAACCCTCCTGTAGTTCCTGAAGTTGGAGCTGTAGCTGTGTGATCTAGCCTTTGCTTTGAGCAGGGAGTGAGGCGCTCCTTATAGTCGCACAGTTTCAGAGGTGTTCTTGTAATGACCTTGAAGGAACTATCAATTTTCTGATTTGCAGTGGTCTTTTGTTTACTCAGAAAGTATTTGTGGAATAACTGCTTCATTCTGGGAAGCATGGGTAGAGTGGTGAGCAAGACAGGCTTGATTCTTGCACTCATGGATATTAGACATAGTGACAAAGATAGTTGCTGCATAGGTGTGATTGGATTGTATGATGAGTGGATGAGGGAAGGAAGGTTTGTTCCTAATTAGCATAGAGGTCTTTACTTTCATTTATCAATGTATATTGCTATTAAATCCAATATATTTTCCTTGTCATAATATCATTCTTAAAATTATCTGATTTTATCTACCTTGTATTCAATTTATTATTTTATTTACGAAATCTTGAATATTTTGTTGTTACTTTTGAGACAGAGTCTAGCTCTGTAAGTCCTGGTTGGCCTAGTTCTCACTTTGTAGCCTGCCAGTCTTGGGCCATGATCTTCTTGCCTTTGCATTTGTTTTGAGATTACAGGTTTGCATCACCACATTGGTCTTCCTGTGTTTTTCAAACATGACATTCTCATCATATCCTTTCTTAGTCTCTCAGATTTTAGTTTTCTATTATTTTCAGAGTGAGGTAATCTCACAGCTAGCTTCAAGCCTTTCTGCCAGTTCTAGGTTTTGTAATGTAGAAATCCAGATATCCTCAGTAAGTAGGCAGGTACCATAAGGTTTCACTAGAGAGTGGTTCCCCAGTCTTGGCTGCTGACTGAATCAGTTGGGGAAAGTTTTTAAAAACAAAAATGTAAAGCAGAATCTTACTCCATCTACTGCTGATTTTGATTTGAATAGTGTAGGGTATGACTAAGGCTTCATAATATTTTCAGAAAATGTTTTCTAGGTCTTTTAATGCACAGGTAGGTTTGGAAAATGATTGCTCCAGATCTGTGATACAGTTTTTTAAGCCACTATTTTTCTTGTTGGAAATTTTCTTTCCGTTTGTCTGGCTACACTGCTACAAAGCCTTGCTTTATGCTTCTTGATTGATGAGGTTCTTCCTACAGATATCTGACCATAGCATCTCTGGGCACTGCATTATGTTTTGTGTCATGATCTTTTCTTGTTGTTGTGTCCTTGAGGTGCAGGTGATTGAGCCCAGTCTTTTGCACATGCTGTGCAAGTGTTCTGCTGCTCAGTGTCCCCAGTCCTGCCATGGCAATGTTTGTGTCTCAGTGTCTGCTTTTATGGCTTGAGTTTTTTTGTATAATTTTCATCTCCTTAACTGTATTTTAGTGTGAGGAATGGCATTTGTGTCATTATAATCCTCAATCTAGTGCTAAGTATATGGGTACATGTAAATATTTTTGACCTGAAATAAAGTGCTTAAGAATTTGAAGTATGTTATAAGAAGTGTTATATTGCTTTAGTGACAGAGAGGTTGGGGCTACTCATTTGTTTTTTAAATGGCAAACCTTTTTTTTTAAAATTTTTATTTATTTATTATATGTAAGTACACTGTAGCTGTCTTCAGACACCCTACAAGAGGGCATCAGATATCATTAACATGGTTGTGAACCACCATGTGGTTGCTGGGATTTGAACTCATGACCTCTGGAAGAGCAGTCAGTGCTCCTAACCACTGAACCATCTCACCAGCCTGGGGCTACTCATTTTAACATCAGTAAATATATCAAAAACATTTTGATGCAACCAATTACCTGAAATCTCAGCATAGTTTTGGTATTTTTTTTTATATTCCAGTTGTCTTCTAATCTCCAGTTTAATCCAATTAAGCACTATTGTTTTTTTTAAAAACATATCTACTATTCAGATTACTAATTAAATCTTAAATTGGTTATTTATAGGGCATCTAAAAGATATGTACTTAATACTTGCTTGTTTAAAAAAATTCCCAAACAACAAGAAGTTTCAGCACAGGGTTGAAAATGAAAACCCCTAGTGTCCAGGAAAGTAATGTAAATGTTTAGTTGCAAAGGCATGGAAGTAATTTAGTCTACGGGGAGATTATGTATGCTGGGCATACAGTTTGTTCAGTTTTTAAAATATATATACCCATTAGGCAGAAAATGGGAAGTTCATGGTATGGCGTGAGAGTAGAATAGGAGTAGCCCTGATTTTCTCTTGTTGTAAGAACTTGAGTATAGCTGTTGCTGAGGTTTAGAATCATGATCTCACTGAAACTGGAGGGGATGAAATGAGCTGTGGTGGGGTAGCACTCACATTCTTCTGTTCTTATAGAAGAGCTTTTTTTTTTGTTTTTTTTTTGTTTGTTTTTTTGTTTTTCGAGACAGGGTTTCTCTGTGTAGCCCTGGCTGTCCTGGAACTCACTCTGTAGACCAGGTTGAGTTGGCCTCGAACTCAGAAATCCACCTGCCTCCGCCTCCCAAGTGCTGGGATTAAAGGCGTGCGCCACCACTGCCCGGCAATATATAAGAGCTTTTATGTGAAGTAAATGTAGACATATGTACATTTTTATGTATTTAGTATTTTTAGCCATACCAGCCTTTCGAAAATATCTGTGTGCGCATGTATCTAAGTGTGTGCCTGTTGATGTGAGAATGGGGTGCCCGTGTGCTATGGGACCCGTGTGGCAGTTAGAGGATATCCTCCAAAGTAAGTTCTTATCCTTCACATTGTTTGAGACAGGATCTCTTGCTGCTTACCACTGCCCATGCCTGCTGGCTTGCAAGTGTCTGGGGTTCTCTTATCTGTGCCTCCATCTCCATCTCTGTGTGGGAGTCTAGATTACAGACATATGCTACTGTGTGCAGTTTTATATTGGTTCTGGGATCCAAATGGAGTTCCTCACACTTAGTTGCCAATTGCTTTACCCAAAAGGAAATCATCTCTCCTCTCCTCGCTTCTACTTTTCTGTAAAATAAAGAAAGCATCTCTATGTACAAATCAATTATTTAAGGCCAGACATGGTGGTATTTTCCATTAGTTCTTAAATTCAGGCATCCAGGAGACAGAGGCAGGTGAATTCCTGTGAGTTTGAGGCCAACTTGGTCTATATACTGAGTTCTAGACTAACCAGGGTTACATAGTGAGATCCTGTCTCAAACAAACAAACAAACAAACAAACAAACAAATCCACCCACCCATTGACCCAGAAAAGCACACAATGCAAAACAGTTGCTTAAAGCATAAAGATACAGATGCTAATGAAAAATTGGTGGTTGCTAAATGGGGATAAATGAATTATTTTCATGGGCTAATATAACAAAAAGTGATATATTTTGGGATATTTACTTTATAAGGAGTATGTTTGGATGCTTGTGTGTTTTGATGTCTGATATGATGTCATTAAGCTTAGCATCTTACTCTTTGGATTAAATATAGTTCAAATATAGTTACCTATGAGATGGGTACCAATGAGCTTCTTTGCCTGTGTTCTTCCTTTTGGTTTTGTAGGTTCAGTTGATGCTTTATACTTACCTATCCACTGAATTCATTGGTACAGTCAACATATATAATACTATTCGGAGAGTTGGAACAGTGCTGCTCATCATGCACACACTGAAGTACTACTACTGGGCAGTGAATCCTCAAGATCGAAGTGGTATCACCCCCAAAGGATTAGGTATAATTCCGCTTTCTGAATGCTATGTTGTTCACATGGTAAAATCAGGATATAAAATAAACCAACAATACATTTTTTTTCATTTTAATTTACGTGATTAAGTGTTTTGCCTATATATATATATATAATGTATTACATATTTGGCTAGTGCCCTCAGAGGCCAGAAGAGGGTATCAGATCCCTTGGAAGTGAAGTAGAAGGTTGTGAGCTACTGTGTAGGTTCTGGGAGTCAAACCTGGATCCTCTGATCAAATGCTCTTCAGAACCATTTCTATAGCAAATTTATTAGTTTGTTATAAAATGCTGTTGCTAACATTGTGTTACTGTTTTAGAAGAATGCAACTGTTTTTAAATGAATTGTTTGGGAAGCAGTATGATCAGGCTAGTTTTAACACATTTTCTCTAAGACAAGCAAATGGTTGCTTACTGGTATTGGTGTTGAGCTAGCCATAGTGAGAATCATTGAAAATGGTGTTTTGTGGAGATGGAGGTTTCATAGAAATGTAGGTTTCTATGTGTAATAAAGATGTAATGAAATTCTAAAATTTCAGTAGTCGTTTTCTTTCATAATAGGAAAGGGAATAGTATTGCAAGGGTAATATTCTCTGAACATGTGGAAAGTTCATAAAAGGTCAAAGTAAAACTTTTCAAGTTTTATAAAACTTATCAAACTGGCTTGTCTTGAAAGAAAGCTCATCAACTGATTCTAAGTGGTGGTCTCAGGTATAACTGGTGCAGGTGTTCAAAGATGCTCACAGCAAGTTTGTGTCCACATAGACTAGCTCTTCTGTGTCAGATGTTTTCTGGAATTCCCTCCCTTTGTAGTACCTAGCAGCCATTCTGCTTTGGAGTCCTCCTAACTGTATCAGGTATTTTCAAGTCTCTTTGGTCTCTGTGCTGCTCCTTGGCTTGGGTTGATTCTATGCCCGAGTCTATGACATTATTGTGCTGATGGACCACAGTTGGAGGTGCCTAACACACAGTGTGAGATAAATGTGTGTCCCTTTGACAGCATTTAAAGACTGTTGCTTCATACTAGAAGTAGATGCCCAGGATCCAGAAAACCATGTCTTTTCATTATTGTCAAAGGCTTTGACTGTTCAGTAACTTATAAAGTTAGTCTTGTACTTTTATGCTACTTTACCTTCAAAATAAACTATTTTCTGAGAATAATGCATCAACAGCCGAAAAAGCTGCAAAGATACAACTCATACCATGTATGTAAGCCAACAAGCATGTGACACTTGCAGATCTAGGCCAGAACTTTCTGATGGAGATTTCATGGTGGTGTAGGACTTTCATGTACAAGTTGATTGCTAGTTTCATGTCTTGATTTTCATTTTATAAGTAATCAGTGACTTCAGTAGTCTCATTGGTCAGCTAAGGGAGCTGGACAAATTTTGTGGTTCTTGTCTGTTTAGCTTGTTATTTGTCTAGGAATTATCATGTGGAACACATTTTACACAATTTTCTTCCTATTTTAATTGATCTGTTCAAGGTCATGGTGGTCTTGTGCTTTGGTGGTCTGTGCAATAGCTGTAAATAGTGATTAGTGAGGGAAACTGTTGAATTTATGAGGCAAATAGGTCTCTAACTTGAGGTCTTGAAACAATAGTTACTTGGTTTCAGAGGTTTTGTACTTTGGAATTGGATGCTTCAGACATGAAAATTGACTTAATATGAGCCATGTGTGACCAAGGACTTGCCCAAGTACTGGAGATGTCAGAGGTAGTCAGCAGAATGTTTCTCTTGTTCATTAACAGTCTTGTGTGGTGAAGCATTCTTTCTGTAAGAGTTTAAAAGACAGCAGTGAAAACATTGTTTCATACCCAGTTTGCATAATAACATTTTACTGCCCAAAGATTAGATCTTTATTTTTTTAAGTTTTTGGTAATTTTTGTTATCTTAGTAACAAGTGCTTTCAGAACAAAATATAATTATTATCAAGTATAATTTTTATCACCATATGTTTGTTTTGAAATCCTTTCACCTTTTTGAAGTATGAACTTTTAAAAAATTATTTTGCCAACATTTTATATGTATGATGCATTGTAATCATACTCATTCCACATCAGCATCTTTTTCCCTCCACCTCTGCCCACCCGGCTCTTCCCAGCCAGGCTCTCTCCTGCTCTCCTGCCTTATGTCTGCAGGAATCCTAAAGCCGTCTCATGTCCAGCAAACAATAAAATCTATTTTGTGCTTTTGGAGCATTGCATATACAGTTTAATATGAGAGTGAATGCTTGTCTTTCAACAGGCATAAAAGAGGAAGTCACTCTTTAGAAGATTGGGGTGTGTGTGTGTGTGTGTTTTGAGATGTGGTCTCACTGTGCAACTTTGGGTAGCCTAGAACTTAATCTGTAGACCATGCTTGCTTCAAACTCAGAGATTCTACTTCTGTTTCTGAGTGCTGGGTTTAAAATGTATCTCTATGCCCAGCTCTATATTTCTCTTAAGCAAATGGAAAAGCTCTTGGAAATGAAAGCTTTGTATTTTAGTTAGCTTTGAGATCTTTGAAAAACTAATTGTGTATGTCTTTAAAGATGGACCAAGACCCAGTCAGAAAGAAATACTTTCTCTGCGAGCATTTTTACTGATGTTCATTAAGCAATTAGTGATGAAGGTGAGTTTGTTTCTCCCCCTACCCCATGCATGTCATAGCTGATAATTTTATATAAAATATGATTTATGCTTGCTTATTTTTTGCCAGTAAAATAAGACAGAAAGTCTGTTGTGAGATTTTTTTCATACTCTGTTTTTCATTCTTGTTACTCTTGGGTATATATAAATTACAGTAGAATTGGAGTTTGGCAATTTAAATACATATTATATAAGTTTCCACGAGAATTTAAGAGTATTTGTCTTTTCATTTGGCAAACATTTAGAGTCCCTGTTTAACACTAGGTTCTGGTCTTGCCTGTGTGCTACAGTAGCCAACAAAGCACCTAAATAGGCTTTCATTTTCAGGGTCCTTGTACCTAGCATCAGTCTTGGAGAAGCAGAATTTTTGTATAAATATGCCACAAAGATTTATCAGCCTTTAGAAATTATCAGTTTTTATGCTTTTTTTATTATAAGCAAAATAAAATTTAATATTTTTAAAAAGAGCATTTTTATTTTAGAAAATGCCGTTTTAGAGTTTTAATTAATTAATTAATTAATTAATTAACTTTATAGCCCAATATGCAGCCCCCATCTCCTCTCAGTCCCCGCTTCCCATAGCTCCTCCTCCATCCCCCTCTTCTCTGGGATATATGAGATTTTGTCTTAAAAGAGACAAAAGAAAAGAATAATATATTGTGTCTGTACTTTAGTTTTTTTTTTTTTTTTGCTCATATCTTTTTTTTTTTTTTTCTGTGTTCCTTTCCTTTCCCTTTCCTTTTTCTAAGACAGAGTCTCACATAGCCCACGCTGGGCTGGAACTCACTGTGTAATTTCAGGATGGTTTTACTGATTCTCTTGCTTTCGCCTCCTAGGTTCTAGGATTACTGGCTTGTACAGATTTTCCCTCTATTTTATTCTGTATTCTTTAAGTTGTAGTACCTACTAACTGTCATATTAGGTTTGCCAAGAGATCTGCCCTTTGATTTCTGTATAGTCTTCATACTATGTGTCCTTCGTGCTTCCTCAGAATTTTATTTTAAATTTAAGAGTTTTGTGTTATTTTTTAGATTTCTAGCAGCTGAACTTGACTAAATCTATGTATGGTTTCTGATCTTAAAAATGATTTTTATGTGTAAGGCTAAGATACATGTATTATGTTTCTGAAGGACTCTGGAGTAAAGGAAGATGAGCTACAGGCCATTCTTAATTACCTGCTGACTATGCATGAGGTAATACTTGAATGTCTGGTTTGTGGATTTCATTTTTTTAAGCTGCCTTAGGGATGTTTTTTAAAAGTAAAAACATCAAGGAAATATTTACTAATTGTATCACTGTCATGGAGAATAAATGTTTATTTAATGTTAATGAATCCTCATTTTAATGATTTTATTGTCACATTATGTTCCTGTGAAGCATTTTTTTTAAAAGATTGTTATATTTATTTATTATATGTAAGTACACTGTAGCTGTCTTCAGACACCCATATGAGGGCATCAGATCTCATTGCAGATGGTTGTGAGCCACCATGTGGTTGCTGGGATTTGAACTCATGACCTCTAGGAGAGCAGTCAGTCTTCTTCACCACTGAGCCATCTCACCAGCCCCCTCCTGCGAAGCATTTTGAAAGATTTTCAGAAGTTGCTAAAATTAGGTTTTATTTAGTTTATAAAGTACACTAAAGAAAATTGTTACAAACTAGTGTAACAATGAGAAAAGTAGACTTGAAAATGGCTAAAAATGATTGGATTTAAATCCATAACACATTCTTCTTACTAATTTTTGCATGCATATTTTGTTAAACAAGACATTTGTAATAGAATTTAAAATTGCTTATTTGAAAATTAAATGGGTTCAGATATCTTTTTTTCTTTTAACTGTCTGTCAGTCTGTCTGTCTATAATGTGTACATATGTTTTGCTGACATGTATGTCTATGATTTGTGTGTGCCTCTGAAGGCCAGAAGAGGGCATGAGATCCCTGGGTGCTGGTTTTGAGCTGAGGACAACAAAAAATGTTTAGTTATGTCAGTTGTACATTTCTGTAGAGCATGCTGCAGTGATATTGTGATACAGTGTAACACAAAAGCCAGTTTATCTCTCTGATTAGAAAAATCTCTGGATGTTTTACATATATACTTTGAACTGTATATTTAAAGTATAATTGTAAGTAAATATTTTACTTATAATTAAAATATTTAAAGAACCTATTTTTTCAAAAACTGGCATATTGTAGATTTAGTTACTCGTTTGTTTAAAGATGAAATTTATATTGTTTCATAAGTATTCAGTATCCAAAGAATTGATTTTTCTTCATTTTATTTTTAATTTTTTAAATAATTCTAGGACGACAATCTAATGGATGTCTTACAATTGCTTGTTGCATTAATGGCAGAGCATCCTAACTCCATGATTCCTGCTTTTGACCAAAGGAATGGATTACGGTAAGAGTCAGCATTTGCAGAGTTCTAGTTAGGTTTAATATAAAGCATTACTTCGGAAATACAAGATTCTTAAATATGAGACATATTATTTGATTATAGGTCTATAGAAGGAAATAATTTAATATTTTAAACTTACTAATATTGAGATTATTTTATGATTTTTTTGTGAATGAGTCTTAAGTTCTGATAATCATTTTTGAATATATTTATTATTATTATTATTATTATTATTATTATTTAATTGTACTTAATCTGTTTTACAGTCTAGTCATTATCCTCTTCCCAGTCTGCCCTCCAACAGTTCCTCATTCCATTGCTTCCCCCCTCTGCCCCCCCCAGACCCCCGCCTCCACCCAAGGCCTCCCCACTCACTGGAGCTTCAAGTCTTTTGAGGGTTAGGTGCATCTTTTCTCAATGAGGCCAGACCAGGCAGTCCTCTGCTGTATGTGTGTCGGGAAGCCTTGGACCAGCTGGTGTATGCTGCCTGGTTAGTGACTCAGTGTCTGAGACATCTCAGGGGTACAGCTTAGTTGAGACTTCTGGTCTTCTTGTGGGGTTGCCCTCCTCCACAACTTCTTCCAGCCTTTCCCTAATTCAACCACAGGGGTCACCCACTTCTGTTCATTGGTGGGATGTAAGTATCTGCTTCAATCTCAGTCAGCTTCTTGTTGGGCCTGTCAGAGGTCAGCCATGCTAGGCTTCTGTCTGTAAGCACACCATAGCAGCAGTAATAGTGTCAGGCCTTGGAGCCTTCCCTTAATATGGATACCAATTTGGACCAGCCACTGGACTTCCTTTTCCTCAGTTTCTTCTACGTTTTTGTCCCTGCAGTTCTTTTAGACAGGAACAATTCTGAGTCAGAGTTTTTGACTGTGGGATGGCAACCCCATCCCTCACTTGATGCCCTGTCTTTCTACTGGAGGTGAGCTCTACAAGTTCCCTCTCCCCACTGTCATTTCACCTAAGGTCCCTCCCTTTGAGTCCTGAGCATCTCTCACCTCCCAGATCTCTGGTACTTTCTAGAGGGTCCCCCCCACCTCCTACCTCCCGAGGGTTCCTGTTTCCATTCATTCTGTGGACCTTCAGGAGTTCACTCCTGTTTCTCCCACTTGACCCCCCCCCCCCACATACCTTATCATGCTCCCCTTTTCCACTTCTGTCCCCTCCCCCACACATGCATGACTATATTATTAAATGTAGCAGTTTACCTAGGAAGATTCCTTTTTTTTTTTTTTTAATTCTTTAGGCAGGGCAGATTAGACTGATCTTAAATTTGCTGTGATCCTTCTGTCTTTGTCTCTCGAGTGCTGGGATTAAAGGTGTGTACCATCAGTTTGGCCCTATCTTAATTTTTAAGTAATCATAAAATTCTAGTTTTTTGTCTTTGTTATAAATATTTATGTAGAAAAGAATGCTATAATAAACAATTTAAATTTTATTTTGAGTGTTCGTTCATTTTTCAGAAAGCTTTCAGTGTTCTTTTAAGATTAAATTAATAATAGTTTTGAGAATTTATTGTAAAATTTATCATTTTAGTTGTGGTTTTAAGTCTATTTTACTTTTGGAATTATTTAATTAAACATTTTTATTATTTTTCTTGTTTCAGTATGCATTTTATTATTTAAATTTGTCTTTGACATTTTTATGGTTGTATAAAATTTATTTTAATTACTCTCAGCTCCCATTCCTGTCTCCGTCTCCCTAAAATTTCTGTTCCCACATTCGTATCTTCTTGGTTTGAAACTTACTGGGCCATCTCTGTAATCACAGGTGTGCAACTATGCATTGGATTTTGGTTGGGTTTGCTAGGGGGTTTAACCTGTCGACAGTGACTATCTCTCTCCCAGAATGTTTCAGTAGCCAGTAGTTTAGCAGGGAGGCTTGGGGCACATAAGCCCTTCCCCATCCATAACTGATTGTTGACAGTGTCTTGTTGGGACCTAAGCATAGAAAGGAACCTGCTGTGGTGGGTTCAAGATTGTATTATCAGTGTTGGACCCAGAAGATGGCATTTTCCAACCCTTCTCCTTGTCTTCCAACTCTGAAGGTTTTTCTGCCCTCTTCTGTAATGTTCCCTTGAACTTTTGAGTGTGTGGTGTAAGCATCTTGTTTATATATTCAACAGTTACTTATTCTCAGCATCTTGAGCAGCCATGAGACATTGCATTTACAACCACTCACTGCAAAGAGGGGCATTGTCTATTGGTATGAGCATAGGTGTTTAAAGGGCAGTTAGGTGCTATGTCAGTTTTAAGTATTAAGTTCCCCACTAGGGCCTATTCCTTTCTTAGCCATATATCTCCAGTTAAGTTTACAGTCCATAAATGGGTTTTCTTCCTGTGTAGCTCAAACTTCATGGTGATCCTCTGCCTCAGCTTCCTAAGTACTGGGGTTGCAGGCATGAGCCACCACACCTAATAATCAATTAATTTAAAAAACTAAAATGTATTATTTGTATGTCTTTTCTGATAATCACATATTACTGGTCCATCCTTTCATTTTTCATGGTAATAATAATTATTCATAAGTTTAAATATATGCTACCTTCATTTTTTGCTTTTCTTTTTCTTTTTACTAGATACTTTATTTACATTTCAAATGTTATCCCCTTTCCTGGTTTCCCCTCCATAAACCCTGTATCCCATCTCCCATCCCCCTGCTTCTTTGAGGGTGTCCCCCGTCCCTGCCTCATTCACCCACTCACCCACTCCCACTTCCCTGTCCTGGATTCCCCTACACTGGGTCATCAAGCCTTCACAGGATCATGGGCCTCTCCCTCCCATTGATGTCTGAGAAGGCCATCCTCTGCTACATATGTGGCTGGAGCCATGGGTCTCTCCATGTGTACTCTTTGGGTTGGTGGTTTAGTCCCTGGGCGCTCTGGGGGGTCTGGTTGGTTCATATTGTTTTTCCTCCTGTGAGGCTGCAAACCCCTTCAGCTCCTTCATTCCTTTCTCTAACTCCTTCATTGGGAACCCCTTGCTCAGTCCAGTGGTTAGCTGCAAGCATCTACCTCTGTATTTGTCAGGCTCTGGCAGTGCCTCTCAGGAGATAGCTATATCAGGCTCCTGTCAGCAAGCACTTCTTGGCATCCACAATAGTGTCTTGGTTTGGTAACTGTATATAGGATGAATCCCCAGGTGGGGCAGTCTCTGGATGGCCTTTCTTTCCGTCTCTGTTCCACATATTGTTTCTGTATCTCCTCCCATGTGTATTTTATTTCCCCTTCTAAGAAAGACTGAAGTATCCACACTTTGATCTTCCTTCTTCTTGAGCTTCATGTTGTCTGTGAATTGTATCATGGGTATTCTGAGCTTTTGGGCTAATATCCACTATGCTACCTTTAAACAGTGTTTTAAGCCAGGCTTATACAGAAGATACATGTATGTGCCTTGAGATATACTTGGGTTTTTTTGAATTTTTAATTAATTCTGATTTTTTTTTCACTAGAAGGATCTATAGACTGAAATAAATGAATGTTAGATGTCAGAAATATAGTAAATTTTATATAGAAATATATGAATATAGATGTATAGTAAATTTACTTATATGTTACTTGACATAAGTTTGTGATACTAACTTTGAAAATTATATTTAGACTAGTTTGTTCTTAATTTTTATTTCTTCAGCGTTATCTATAAACTCCTAGCATCGAAGAGTGAAGGAATCCGAGTGCAGGCACTCAAGGCACTGGGCTACTTTTTAAAGCATCTGGCTCCCAAGTGAGTGTGCATGAGATCTAAAATCACCTATTGACTATTATTTATTTAAAGCTTTCAAATCATGTTCCTGTTCTGTCGTTCCTTTTTTATTGTTGTTGTGGTGGTGGTGCTGACTACTTAGTTTTTATTCATAATTTTCCTTATGAGTTTAATGGCATTATTGCATATTTTAAAGATAAAACTGGACAAGACAATTTAAATTCTGATATGAAAATTACTTAAATTATTTATGTGTTGGGTTTTTATGAGAATTAGTGTAAATGCATTGAAGGCTTAATTTTGGTGAACTGAATCATCTTGTGTATTATCTATGTTAATTTACCTTGATTGATATAGTGACCTAAATGTCACAACCATCATATTATATCTGTTGCTACTTCACAGTTTATTTCAGAACTTTAGATTCTGGAGATAGAACAAACTGGTTGTGGTAAACTGCAGTCTTTCTGATCCCAGGTGCTACCTGCATGTGAAGTTTATTATATCACAGACACATTATTATTTGAATACCTGTGACTGTTTTCATTGTAGAAAGGCAATGGTGAGATGTGACAGAGACCGTATGGTCCACAAGATTTTAAGTATCTAATATATAGAAAAGTTTGCTGACCCCAGGGTAAAATTAAAGTACCTGATTTCTAGTTTTAAAGTTTATGCCTGGAATGTTAATTTTAACGCACATGTTTCTATAGTGTTCAGTTTCTTAAATTATGTACATTTCTTTTTTCCCTCCAATTGTGATTCTGAGGCATCAATGTGTCTTAGGTAATTGTTCCAAGTAGTGCATAGCTCAGTGCTGACAGATAGCAGCAACTGATGATGCTCTGAAGAACTTAGTTCAAGTTTCACTCTGCCCATCTCTTTTGCATCTTGAACTTTGGTTATGCTTATATTGTGGTTAGCATTGAAAGTTCTGGGTTGAAAAATGTTGATAGTAATTGAATCGAATTTTACAATCACACAAAAAAACCCAAAACAAAACAAAAAAAACCCAGTTGTATTCACTTTATTTAGTTGTAAACCCCCAAAACTCTGTATTTTGTGATTTCTTTCATGTTATTTTAGGAGAAAAGCTGAAGTCATGCTCGGGCATGGATTGTTCTCGCTGCTAGCTGAGAGACTCATGCTTCAGACAAATCAAATCACAATGACCATGTATAATGTTCTGTTTGAGGTAAGAATGCAGTTAGGAAATTACTAATTAATTTATTAGTAAGGTGTCTGTATAATGGTTAGTATTTAAATAAAACAAGATTGTTGTGGTAATTATTTAAAACTGGCCTCTGGTTCATCGACTAAGCTTCAGGGGCTCTGCCTAGCCCAGCTGCCATGTTTCTCGGCCTGAGGCCACATGTGCACTGCAGCTAGAACCGGCTTGCCAGAAACGCCAGCCCTGCCACCCACTAGATGCCAGCGTGAGAGATAGCTCTGCCAATCTTCCACACTGTCTCCGCAAGGCAGGGCATTGCCCAGACCATTCTGCCATCCATGCGGGCCCAGTAAGAGAATGAGACTCTAATTCCTATTGATTAATCAAAGGCTTTATATGTTTGATAATGATTAATAACAAGATGTCCATACAAAGAGAGTTGTATCCCAATTAGCTAACCTAATTATAAGTTATAAGTTGTTCCTCATGAGTGCTCTCCATACCTGTGTGGTTCTCCATCCTCCTACATCTCTGCCCTCTCTAGTTCCTCTTCTTCCTTTTTTCTCTTCCTCCCCCAACTCGTCCTCTTCCTCTCCTTACTCCTCCCACCTTAGCTCCTCCTACACAAGATCATTTGTTTTATAATGTACCACTTTTAAATTATTTACATAAAGGTAATATGGCTACATTTTAGAAGTTTATTAATTATGAACTACTAAGTAATCTTATTATCTTTATTTTGTGTTTATTCCATTGTGTTGACTTTGATACTCATTTTATAATGATATTATAATTTTATACTGAAGTAAATATCATTATGGTATTTATGTGTTTGGATAACTTAGCATTGAAATTATATGGTTATGTTATAAGTTTTATTTTTGAGACATCATCTCATTCTGAAGCTCAGGCTGTTTCAGAATCTAGCCCTGTCATTAAGACTGACTGTCAAGTCCTGGGAGTCCTTTTGCCTCAGTGTCCCTAGAGCTGAAGGTACATGGTGAGGCCCATGCCCAGCTAGCTGCATACACTGAGCTTGAGTACTGTGCGTCACTTCCTTAAGAGTCACTCATCCAGCTCTGTGCTAATGCAGCTTGTTGTTTACTTTTGCAGATTCTTATAGAACAGATCTGTACTCAGGTGATACACAAACAGCATCCAGATCCTGATTCTACAGTAAAAATACAAAACCCTCGTATGTATTTTACATACTTAAAAATTACTTTTTTCTACTTTGAAAATAAAGTCTCTATGAAAAACCAAAAGTTAATACTGAAACGAGTAAATCTTTCATTAAGGAATGTATCATAATAGTTTTACTTATGTCTTTATTGAATGTTACACCAATTGGTGTTGTTACTTGGCTTATATAAATGTTTTAAATTTTATTCATGTGATCTTGGTTTAGTTTTTTTGAAAACTTTTTATTATGTTATTTATTGAAGTTAGGCTAAATTATATAAACAATGGTGGACACTTTTTATTTTAAATTACTGCCAGTATAGGAATGCCAAGTTTGATATGGGACACAGTCTTATTTAACTTAGAATTCTTACATACTGAACATGTTCATTTCTCATTTTATTTTTAAGATCATGTCATCAGTGTAAGTAAAGGATTTTTAGAATTGCAAGTACTTTTTGTATGGGGAGGAGTTCTAAACGTCAGTTACCTGCTGTTCTGCTTCTGTGTAGAGTATGAGGAGGAGTTCTAAACGTCAGTTACCTGCTGTTCTGCTTCTGTGTAGAGTATGCCACTTCATAGCATTTTTTTTTTAAAAAGAACTTTTAAATTTTTTTCTTCCTATTTATTTATTTATTTATTTATTTAATTTGTTCTATTTATTTATTTATTCTATTTGTTCCTCTATTTGTTCTGGTGAGGGCAGCTCTGCCCACTGAGGAAGACAGAACAAGCAAGCTGAAAGCTGCCCTGGAGCCCTAAAAAAATGGCCGTCCTCTCATTAATTGGAGAGACCTCAAGGCTTGATTACTTTGATCGGTCCGACCTCTTAACTTTATCATGTGGATCACACCTGCATTTTGGAGAGGACCCACTCAACCCATACTGTTTGACCTTTCAGTGCCTAACCACTGGCTCAGGAAAGGCAGGTAGTGTAGTGTGGTGTTGGAGATACAGCTCACCTGGGCCTGAACTGACTCTTCTTTCTGAGGGCTCAGCTTTGAAGACAATACGTAGTATCTACATTCCACCATGGAGATCTTCAGCACAGTTGAATTTGTTTTCATTTTTTCTCATAGTTTTAAAATTTTATTTCATAAAGGAAAGGCTCTATATATACAATAAATTTAATTTCAGAATGAGAATTTATCTTTTCTTCTTAAGATTTTGAATATGATGGGAATTTTTGTTTTTACGTTTAACTTTACTCTTTGGCAGGGACTAAACATTTTGTTCATTTATAATTTAAATGTATTGTTTGGACTGCATAAACTGTAACTGGCTGGTGTGTAGCTCCATGGTGGAGCACTTGCTTCATCATGTCATGGCCATTTGTTGGAGAGGAGAGACAATCAGCATGACATTAAGTCATTGTCTTGTGTATAAGTTTTTTCTAACAAATATTGGTTTCTTTCTATAAATTTAAATATTCTTTAAAATAAGTTTTAAGTTAGCATGTTTTCCCCAAGTTTTACAAAAACTTTTTAGTAGACATTAATAAAAGGAAGCTCAAGAAATTGTTTATATTAATCTACCTTCATGAATTTTTTGTTGTGTTTGGCTTTTACTTATTTATGAACTGTCTTACAGAGATACTGAAAGTAATTGCGACCCTACTTCGAAATTCTCCCCAGTGCCCAGAGAGCATGGAGGTTCGCCGAGCGTTTCTTTCTGACATGATTAAACTTTTTAATAACAGTAGAGAAAACAGGAGGTAAGCTGGAGCAGAAAGCATTTATTTATAGTATTCATGTCGACTTTTGGATGATTCTAGTTTGTCTTAGAAAAAATCCTTTTTCTAAGTGTGAATAAATAACACACAGGAGCTAGAACTTTTATTTCCACATTGTTAAAAGTGTTTTGGATGTATTATAGATAATGATGGCTTGGGTCCAGCCTCCTGCCCCACATTGAGACAGGGTTTCTGTGTGTAGCCCTACCTGCCCTGGAACTCCTTCTGTAGACCAGGCTGGCCTGGAACTTAGAGACCAACCTGTTTTTGTCTTGTGAGTGCTGCGATTAAAGGCATGCACTACCAGGCCTGGCCTGGTTTGTCCTTCCTCTCTCCTTCTCTTCCTCAGTTTATCCATATCATGCCCCACCTCTCCTTTTTATAGACCTTTAGTCTTTAGAATTCTCTGGTGATTTTTTATATTTTGTAGTAATTCAATATTTTTTAAAAAATTGTTTTCAGGAGCTTGCTGCAGTGCTCTGTGTGGCAAGAGTGGATGCTTTCTCTCTGCTACTTTAATCCTAAGAATTCAGATGAGCAAAAGATAACAGAAATGGTATATGCCATATTCAGAATTTTGCTTTACCATGCAGTCAAATATGAGTGGGGTGGCTGGCGAGTGTGGGTAGACACCTTATCCATCACACATTCGAAGGTAAGCTGCTTTATGAAAGTGTATCTGTTTTAAGTAACTGTAACTTTGAATTTTACTCATGTAAAGTATTAATATGCTTGAAATAAAGGAAAAAGGCAAGTTATTTTCTCAAAATATAGTGAAGTAAAAACCAAAAGGCATTAATAAAAATATTCCTTACTTATATAAATCTCAAAAAATTATTTTCAAGTGTATTATGTGTGTTTAAGTAAAATTGAACATCATGTCAAAATATATAGAAATTTAGATTTTTATGTATGCCATACTCAGATTTTTTTCTGAATTTTTATTGTTAGAAAGTTTCGAACACAAGGTGGCGCACCATGTTCAAAGATGGAAGGTTTTTGTTTTTAGTTTTCCTCTTGTAAATAATATAAAATTGAATAAAAAGAAAAGTTCTGGCACATATTTGCACTTTGCTCAGGTCAAAATCAGAAAAAAAAATTGGTTTCTAAGAAAATACTCACCTATTTTCCTGTTTTTAACACAGTGTTTGATGTAACCTAGGATTGCCATAGACTTAGTAATTTTGTCAAGAGTGACCTGGAACTTGTGATCTTTCTGCGTCTACCTCCTAAGTTTGAGTGGTAGGCTTATATCACTTCTTCCAGCCTGTTCTTTGTTTTTTTTTTTTTTAGCTTTAAAAAATTATAGTGAAATATTAGCGACACTGAAGGATACAAAGAGCAGGGTGCCCAATACTTATCATTTATGAAATTAAATACTCCTTCTCAAATGTTTTGTCTATATTCTTCATAGCTCCTATTCTAATACCCCACTAACGTAATTTATGTTTCTTCTTTATACTCTTACTGAAGTATATACCTTTGTATAAGTTTTTAGTTTTTAGTTTAGCTAGTTTAAGTTATTGAGCCCAGTGCAGTCTGAATGCTAAGCATTCTCTCTGTCCTTGAGTCATAATGTCAAACCTTTACATCGCTTAATAATAAGTATTATCCTTTTCTATTGTTTGGATTCGTTCATACCTACTCCTGTACTGTGTTTATTTTCTTATTTATTTTGTCTTCCATGTCTCAAATTGACTCTTCTACCAGTTGATAAGCAAATTATGCATATTTGAGAGTTTGTGTAAATTCTTAGAGCTTTTACTATGTAATACATTGTAGGATAATGTAATTTCCCCCTCAAACTAGTGCATACATTTATATCGTTACTGCATTTATCTTTAAGTTCTTATTGTTTCACATTACCTCATCATGCTGTTATTTAAAATAGACTAAAGTTTTGATTTATATATCATCACAATCCAAATTTTTGTTTTCTGAGTATGTGGTTCTGTATGTCTTTCATCTTAGCACCCAGGATACAGAAGGATCTCTTTTAGAGGACCCAAGTTCATTCACCAGAACCCATGTTAGGTGGCTTGACTGCTTGTAATTTTAGTGCCAGGGGTATTTAGTATGTCTGGTGTCTGAGGACATCTAGATTCACACATACATACCCAAATTCAGGCACACAGTGCATATAGTTAAAATAATAAAAAAGTAAACCTTAAAATCTGTTGGGAAATAAAAATTGGCACCTATTTCTTGAATTGCCTTTGTTATACACACTAGATTTTTGAGACTGATCAGTTTAGTCCAAGGCATTGTTCAGCTAACCATGACCCAAGGGCAAAATCCTGCCTGATGTATTGCTATAAATAAACATTTTGAAACATAATCACTCTTGTCCATATATTTATTAATATAGGGCTATTTTTGCACTACAAGGATAAATTGAGTATTTCCTACAGCATTGCATGACTCTTAAAGCCCCAACTGTCCAGAGTGTGATCCTGTATAGGAACAGTTTCCCATCCCTATATACCTTATTTTGGTTTGTGCTGTAAAAACTGACTACTTTTCCTCTATTATAGTGGGCTCCTGTAACCTGGGTTGGTTACCTGTTAATAGGTTCTCATATTTTAGAGAGAGATAACTAGAAAATTTGGTTTGCATTTGAGCCTTACATACATTTGGGTTAGATTTCAGAGTACATGGTAGCACTGCAGATTAGGAGAGTGCCAAGTAAGAAGCAGATGTTTTTCATGTTTTTTAAGTTTATCTAACTCATATACACTACTGAAGGAAGGATGGTTAGGGGAATGTTACCTTCAGAGAGATGATAAATGTCACTAGAAGACTTTGAGAATATATGAGATCTTTTCAGAGGGTCTATTAAGTTCTATCCATCTGTATAACTCTGTCGGGTGGATTTTCTTTGTGGATTTCAACCCAAACAATATAACACCACAGATCCCATGTCAGATTATGGATATATCAATCTAAAAACAAAATATTGTTTCCTTCCATAGGCTGTTCATTCATTATTTTAATAACAAGTTAGTTTTTTAGAATTATTTTTTCACATGTATACCTTGTCTTTTACTGATGCCATGGAAATGTATTTTCTAACTTCTACTACTTGGTAGAAACTACACTCTGGCTATAGGGTTATAGTTCTTTTCCAATAACCCCAATGTGTTAAATCTTTATTTACGCAGTCTTTTCCATTTACCCAAGTCCTTTCCATTGTTTAGGACTTAACTGGTTACTCAGTCTGTATGAGGTCACAGCATGTTTGTTAGTGTCTCCTGGTAGTTTCCTGCATTGTATAGTGTGACTTGAGAGAGCCTGGCTGTCTTGGTACTGTCTGTACTTCCATGATTGCCTGCTCAGCTTTCTGCTTTTCTCTCAGTCTCTGTCTTCTGGTTTTCAACCCATATTACCACCTTACATCTTTTTCTGTTCTCTCCATTATCTCTGCTCAGTCTGTACCTCTGGCCTTCAGATAGCAACCTATTTCCCTGTACTCTGTCTGTTCCTCCTTTAGTAGAGCTGCACCTCTTCCATCTTCACCCCTCTCTGAGCTATGTGTTGTTTGATGGATTTTTGTCTCCTCAGCATTTCCAGTCATTCTGTGCCCAGTCTGTTTGTGGTTCTTTATTCTTTTCCTTCCAATATTAAAATTTTATCCTCTTTCTCTTACTTCCTATATGTTTTCACTTTTTTGTTCTTTCTTGCTTCTTCTATTTCAGTACTTTCCTAGAAATTATGGAAGTTGAAAGAAAAATTCCAAAACATATTATCCTGGAAAGTACTGTTTTCTAATGGAATATAACATACATGTAAAAAGGGCTGTATATAAGATTCAGGCCATAAATACCACAGAAGGGATATACACAGTGAAAGGAGCAGCAGCTTCTACTTGAGGTCATGGAAGAGTCTGTGGAACAAGTGACATTGAGTACAGTTTTAAGTAGTAAATCCATGGAGATAGAAATTGGGTAGCTTTCTGGTCGAGGAAGAGACAGAGTAAGCAAAGACATAGAGACAGTGCCATTTATAAAAAAGTGGTAAATAGGTTTGGATGGAGGTATGTGACTTGTATGAAGGAGAATGCTATGTATGATGTAGCAGTGTGGGCCAACATGAACTATGTATGTCCCTGTGATACCGCTTCTCTTTCTCTGTTAATAAAAGAGAATTCTTCTCTTGCAGTTTATCAGCAGCTACTAGCATTTCTTCACATCATCCATAGAACTGTGCTTTGTGCTGAGTTTTTAGCAGTGAGTGACACATTAAGCATTTGTTGTAGGAAGGGGAAGGAAGAAGTTTGTCATCACTGTATAAAGCTTCTTGACATTTTTTTGTGTATGATTAAGTAATTCTGTCTTACCAGGAAGCCACAAATAGTGTCAGTGGCTGCTTAGGAAAGCACCCGCGCTATGGCCACTCACAGTACGATGTTGGATCACTTCTGCAGAGGAGTTTAGGATGCACATCTTACTATAGTTTTCTTTGTCCAACCTCAAAATCCTATTTTTTTTTAAAATTTTGTTTTATGTGACAGGGTTCTTTATCGCTAGTTGTCCTGGAACTCACTCTGCAGACCAGGCTGGCCTCACAGTGATCTACCTGCCTGTGCCTCTTGAGTGCTGGGTTTAAAGGTGTGTGTCACCACCGCTTGGCTTCAAAATCTTATTCCTGTGGTGGAGGAATTATAGAAGAGTTTATTAGATCTGGGGAATCATATGCAGGGCCTTGTGCCTACTATGCAGGTTCCCTACTACTAAGCTATACCACAGGCTGTAAATCTGTACTTTAAAAGTACCCCTATGCTCTGAATTGTGGTGTGTGCCTATAATCCCAGCTATTTGCAAACATGGCAGAGGATAATTCTTTGTTCAAGACTAGTCTGGGCACTATAGAGGCCCAATTCCAAAACATGCAAACATACATACAAATATATGCACACACACCCACATGTATGTACACACACGTGCATATGTACACACATGTATACACACATGCACGTATGCACACATACATGCACATAGATAATTGTGGTGTGTGCCTATAATCCCAGCTATTTGCAAACATGGCAGAGGATAATTCTTTGTTCAAGACTAGTCTGGGCACTATAGAGGCCCAATTCCAAAACATGCAAGCATACATACAAATATATGCACACACACCCACATGTATGTACATACACGTGCATATGTACACACATGTATACACACATGCACGTATGCACACATACATGCATATAGATAAAATAAGCACTTATGCACAAAGAATTTGGACTACTCCTCTGTGTATGCAGGAAATATTTTTATTATTTTCATAAAATTCTTACCTGCCTACCTTTACATTAAGCTAATAATATACTGTAAGATTTTTTAAGTCCTTAGAAAATTATATGTGGGGATGTGGAGAGTCTAAAGAAACTGAATGTATACCTCAGTTTATGGTCTCTTAATAGAGTTTTAATTATAAAAATCTTCATTGTTTTGTGAGTTTACGATGTAGAGAAGGGAGGAAATATAGTATTTGCAAGCAGTAGTTTTTTTTTTTTTTTTTAAGAGATGGATTATATAGAATAAATACAGAGTGGTCAGAGAGAAGAGGCAGGCATTGTTCAGTTTATATTTTTCTTTACTTCATGGCCTTTTGATTTGAAACAGATCTTAAAACTGCTTTGTAAAGAAAATA